TCTCTCATCTTTTTAAGTGGGAGAACTTGCACAATTGGTGACTGACTAAATACTTATTTTCCCCACTGTACCTCCACACCGCTGACATAACGCCTCCTCTACAAACTGCTTGCTTGTTAAAGTTTGTTCAGCTCGGCTAACGTGGTCGTCGTCTTCTTCTTCTGTTTTTTTATGCGGCTGGCATTAAGTCTGTTGCGYGATTCCGCCGCCTGCTGGTTTAGAACGTATATGCACAAACTGAGCAAAATGAAGCTGGTATCGGGTCCTGTAGTATCGGAGCACTTTTACAAGTACGGGTACGAGTTAACGCACATGGTATCGGTGCATCCCTACCTTTAATCATATTAACAGTCAATCTACCTTGTAGTTTTTAAATGTGCATAATATGGTGTTGGTGTTAACCTTGAAAACTGATTGTCTCGAGTTGGTACACCAATTGATCTCAATCTCTTTTTTTAATTAGAAAAGCTTATGGTTTGATGTCAGAAGCCAGATTGTAATTCTCTTGAGAAAATCAGCTCACATGAATGTATTTGCTCCTAGGCATCGATTCAGAGAGTATGCAATTCCCTGGTACATGAATAGGCGCTACAAGCGCAAAGTGTTTTACACACCCTCCTTCGTTAAACCGTTTATAAGGTAAGACACAGCACGTGAGAAGTTTTATTATCAATGTTTATACTCAAACGATATGTAAACCTGCTGTATTTTCTTGGCTTCTTTTCTTTGGTAGGCTGCGTATAGAAAAGCACCTTCGGGAAAAGGCCAGAAAGCGGAGAGGGAAGTACCAAAAACTTAAAAAATTAAAGAAGAGGTTTCCTGACATGAAGGTTCCTGCTTCATGGTTTAAGTGAGTTTTGTACTGCACTTAATTAGCTCGTGCAACTTGCTGAAAATAAGTGCATTCGTTCAGCTGTTATTTGATCCTATATTAAAAATTGTGATGCCAACATGAAGTGTYCTGTTTTCATTTTAATTAGATTTTTTAATGTTTGGACACTGTCCCAAAAAGCCCGTCGGAATCAAAATAACTAATTATAAGATGGATTTTAAAGTATTGCAAGTCATTTAAACATAAAAAGACTTTATTTTAAAAAGGTCACAGTATGAAGCCAATGACAAGTAAAAATGAATCAAATACAGATTTCAGTTCTCACATAAGTACAGGAAAAACTGACTTGCCTCTGCCTATGATGGGRCTGTTTGCTACACAAAATGGCAAAAGATCAGAAAACATTTGCGCTCAAGCTCGTCTCCAAATATCAACCTTTATCACAATATTTTAACTTGTCAAAAAGTTACTGAAATCCTGTACAACAACTTTTTTTTCTCCAGTCAGAAACATGACCTTTCGAGGACAGATTTTCACCAACAATTAAATCGGGCAAAATACACGACTTCAAAGAGATGAGATGCTTTAGATTGGGGATGAGAGATCAATGTTTGACTTCTACAGTGAGATCCAGACAGGTGTTTAAATCAGCTCAATTAACAAAAAATTATACAAAGTAAAAGCTGAGTGTTTCTGGGTCAGAAGTGAACATCTCATGATGTGGCAAAGATGACGAGGTGGGGCTGGATGTTAAATCAAGGACACTTCCTGTCCACACATTGCTTTCCTCCTTCCTCATATTCTTGTTTGGAGATCCACATCTGCTGGAAGGTTCCCTGGAAAGCAAAAAAAAAAAAAAAAAGAAAACATGCTGTAAAACATTCAGATCTATGCACACATAATGACAGCTTTGTTGAATCAAGCAGGTGTTTTGGTTGAGATGTCTCAGTCATTCTGAATAAATGGTGCGTTCCTAAGTAGCCTCGATGTGTTCTTACAAGTGATGCCAGGATGGAGCCTCCAATCCACGCGCTGAACCGGCGCTCCACCGTGGTGTTGTTGGCAATCAGCTTCAGCCTCATACTCTGTAAATAAATGAATTCAACACTAACAGTGAATACAGTGGTGCTCCTTAAATAAATAAAAAACAACAATGAACTAAATGTATAACACTGTTGCTTACTGGAGGGGTTTTCTGGGAGAGTTCTCTGTTCAGTCGATCTGTGAAGCCTTGAATAAGAGTGTTTCCTCCCGTCACCACYACACTGCCATATAAACCCTTTAGATAAACATTAGTTTTTTAATTAAAAAACAGTTATTCAAGAATAAGCCSCATGTTAGAACCTGTTTTTTACCACTATAGAAAAAAAAACACTGAAAATATAACTTGTTTTATATTGACTAACCGTTTGGTAAACACTAAGCTGGCATGGAAAATAAACTCAAATATTAGAAAAGAACAGGACATGTATTTAAAGCAAAATAAAAAAGGTAAAATATCTGTCCTCTGATACTTACGGGCCGGATGTCGATGTCACACATCCCTACGCTGGTTGTCACCACGTGGCCGACTCCTAACATGGTGTTTCCTGACAAACCCTGAAAATAATCAGACAAAACAAAATCAGGTTAATATCTGCCAGTTTATGAAGTGGTTTAAGAAAAAATATAGTAAAACTTTAATTTCACCAAATTAAATGATTCATAGCTGCAGGTAGTTACTGAGTATCTTTAACTGTTATGACAGTTGGTTCAATTAGTATTTAYAGAATCACATTTCTGTTCATGGAGTATGAAGAGTGAGTACAAACCTTAGCATTAGAGGGGTCAAACAGTCCTTCTGGGATCTTTAGCCTCTCTGCCCCAAAGTCACAATTATAGCCGTTTGGAAGCTCGTAGTGCACTGTGGGCATTTGTGCAGCAACTCTAATAAACAAGAAATGCAACTTAGCATAACTGGTGATGTCATCTGTTAGAAATATATCTAAACTTGTTCAAGCAATTTTGCCTATCATTATGTAAAGTTGTACTCAACTGTTCATCATATGGTGAGTCTGAAACCTGCAGCACTGATGCCTGGAAGTCCTGGATTACACACTGCAAAGAAAGCAGAAAAATGGTATACATTTGACTCTCATTTGAAGAAATCACTGTTGTACCGCCAAAAATAAAAACAACAAGTTTGCTGCTTACATTACACATGTAATTGTGCCAAGAGCGGGTTACTTGAGGTAGTTTCTCCTTTTTCTTCCAGCTGGCTGGGGCTCCCTCCCTCACTGGGTCCTATTGGGTATTCACAGATCAATGTATTAGCAAACTTCACTTCTAAAAATATGTCACAAGGGAGATAAAAATACCTCAAAATACGTGTTTCACACCATAAACATGTTTACCTTTGATGCAATCATGTAGGGAGGGATTATTTCCACACCTAACTCTTGAAATAACTCTCTGCACTGCATGCTCATGAAGTCACCAGCCAAAGGGGATTTAACTATGCCTGAAAAAAACAACAGGACATGACCAGAAGTTTAGACAAAAATGCAAATGATTACACTTAATTTAGGGGGACTTTAAAAAATGATTCAGCACTGATCAGCTTTATGTATAGAGAATGAGCTCAAAAAGAACTTATAAAAGCAGTTATACGAACTGTGAATGACCACAGTTCCCACAGTGCAAAACCAATAAAAACCGTTTGACTGTAAACATAATGAACAAGTTCCTGCAGTTCAAAAGCACGTAATGTGCCCTGTAAAAATGTTTCACAAATGGTTAAAAAGGATGACTTAAAAAAATTATCTATTTAGCCTATAAATTGTCCACTGAATGCAGTTTTGTCAAACATCAGCAGGATTTGCTGAAGAAACACATCCGATTCACAAATCTCCCATCTTGTGATCAACAGGGTTTAAATGGGGTTTATTAAGGAAAATCAACTTTTTTTAGCTTTATTTCATGTTATATCATTCCTACATCAAATACATACACAGTGTTGCTTTGACTCATTTATGCATGTTTGWGAAATATTTAAATCTCCTGTGGACCTGCCTCAATGCTTGCTGGCACAAAGTACTGCCTATTAATTTGTACAAAGCTCCTTCCTGGAGCTCAGTCTGCAGCCGAGATGCCTCCCCACAGAGCACCCCTACCCTGAAGCACAGTTKTGAAGAGATGCTGAARTGGGAGTGTCAGAAACAGCAGATGGCCAATTTCAATAAAGCACCCCCCTACCCTCAAAATAACTGATGATATCAGATATGATAAATATCCGACTTTAATGACAGATTTAGGTCAAATACTAAAACAGACCTTGGGATATCTAGTAAGTCATTTTTCAGACAGCTTAGTGTAACATTAACTTTGACAAAAGCGGGATCTACTCAGCATAAAGCATGATGGCTGCTCAGTGAACAGCGTCCTTGAATTCCAGGACATGGTCAATGTCATCGAAAATGTAATTGACAAGCAGAAGAATGACAGACAGCAGGCTTTAAAACAGTTGTCCATGTACTAAAGAGTTACAATACAATGACTAAATTAATATTTTGTTTAGATGAATTAGGAAAACAAAATGCTGTTTGGAAACAACATTTTGCTAAATTTTGGGTATGCATGCAGAAAAAAAATTAAAACAAAAAAATTAGAAGATAAAAAGTCACTGGAAATCACTCCTACAATATAAAGTTGCAAAAAGAATTATATATGCTGAGGCAGTACATCGCAGAGATAAATTATCCGACCAGCAGATGGCAACCAAAGGCAAAAAAGGTACCTCTAATACAAATAACTTTTGTCACTGGATATCATACAAAAGCAAATCAAATACGTCGTTCTGTTCTTACTCGTTATTATGTTACAATAACTGGATATTTAGAACAAATGGTCACCTTGCTGCAAGACATAACCATCGTGTACTGGAATTGCTGTGGTGTGTGTGGCTCCACTGTCCAGGACCAGACCTGTCGACCGCCCATTGGCAAAGCTTAGATATTCAAAGTAAAGGAAACAGTACAACGTTTGATGAACATTCAGCAACGTTGACATTTCAAACATTTCAATCCAAAGCCTTTAGCTAACATTGAGCTGATTACGAGGAGAAGCCTTCCCGCTCTGTCACATCTTCTTCTGTGTGAAAAGAAACAGTAAAGGATACGCGGACAGTACAGCTGATTTACAGAGGAAAAAGGCAGGAATGTTGTAATGTTCAAACATCAGCTCGGTAAGCTTCTCTCGTTTCGCCCGTGTGTTCCACTGCAAACACAAAACAGATGTTAGCCCACTTACAACAAACTGTCACCGTCAGAGACGCGAAAACAAATGCATTTTCCATGCAGTGATGAGAACCAGCGCAGGAAACAAAATTTACACCTCAAATCACTTTTTGACTGGAGCCAAAACATAGACTCCTCTCTCATGAGTCACTGACAGCAAGCAGCACGTCGCGGCTAGCCTAAACTCCCGACTTTGCAGGTATTGTTTGAGCTCAGCRCTCCAAGTCACACAAGAATAAACTCACCGATGCTTCAGACATGAGAACCGGATGAAGGCTGGGTTCTGACTTGAAATGCATCTTGTATGTGTGATCCAAAATGGCCTGGAAACTGTCCCAGTCCTCAACTATAAGTGAGGTAAAAGAGAAAACAAGAATACTGTTAATTGCAAACGTGAAGTTATTCTTAATTTTAATTCTTTGGGTGAACACAGATGGAAACAAATTATAGTTATTCATACTTATTGTGACATAACTAGGTTATTTAAATTCTACATTTAGAAAAAATGTGCAGTTTTTGGTAAACATTTACACAGATTCATATATCCCTATATATATTTTTTGTATCATCCATCTGACCCAGTCAGGAGGAAAATGAATTAGAGCAATGATGACTTTTTTAGATAATAATTTGAGCACGAGGCACCGGTGTTCCAAGTCAGCCCTCAGTGGGCTCCTGTGGTCCCACTGCACTGGGCTGTGGAAATTAAAAACAGGTGCTGCACTCATCTCTAAATAGCCGCACACCCAAACTCCATTAGGCCAGATTCCGATGAGCACCATCAGCTGGGTCAGACTTTTTTTTTCATATCTGTCAATAATACTTGTGAATCATTAGCAGTTGATGCAGCTTAAATTCTCAGAAGAATGTTGAAATAATAATAATAATTATTATTATTATTATTATTCATTCATTTA